CACTTGTTAGAAATTAAAAAAAAAATAAGAAACTTATTAAAATAATTAATTATAGCCTATTAATTAAGCAACTGTATCAAAAAATATTGGAGGGAATAAAATTCAAATACTGCATATTATAAGACAGCTTCAGAATTTGTTTTTTTTTTTTTGGTTGAAAGGAGATGAGGTCCCGGCACTGGTTTAGATATCCGCTTACTGAAGCTTCACGGACAGAATAGGGGAATAAATATTCTCATAATCGCGTTTGAAACAGTGCGAGTTTTAGAAGTCCATCACTCTATTTAATAAGATGGTATAGAAATAGGTAAATAGTATTTAGCTATAGTTACCTAGTTTCGCTGCTATGAGCGCGTTGTTCTTCTATTTATTTTATATCCATCCTCTGTGCTGGTGAACTTTTTATCACTTCAAGACATCTACCAGGTTTATGTTAACGGCGTATTATCGGTCAAATTGTGACTTTGTGTTCATTAAAAATTACAAATTTTTAAAATTATTTTTTTTAAAACATTAGTGATGCAATCACTTCACTTGCTGGCTGTTATTAGGAGTTATGTTAACCATCACATGTTTATACGCATTAGTAATCATATGTTTAAAAAAAATATTTTCAATCAAGAACACATCAATTATGAAATATTTAAAGCTCAAATTAAGAAATAAGAATTTATATTTTATTTCTTAAATAAAAAATACCATGGTGTAAGACAGAAAGAATAAATGATTATTGTTGTATCAATATATTTATTGAATCATAAAGGTTAAATATAATTTATCCAGTCTCATATGTCTGTGCTTTTTCTTGTAAACAAAATACCTTACTGTTTTTTTTTGTTTTTTTTAATACTTACAGTCAGCCGAGGGAGCTCCAAGTCGGGCCTTTTCCCCCACGTGTGGAGGATAAGGCAAGACTCCAAGAGATCCCAGCGCTTCTCTCTCAGCCGCATCACTAGGATGGGAATCCAGTGGAAACTAAGAGAGGGCACTAAAGCCACCTACGTTCATGACTTGAGTGGAGAAGCTGGCCATCGCCAGGACTCCAATGACGTCTTTACAAAAGATCTCGAGGCCACTGCCGCTTCAACCTTCCAGGAGGATTGTAGGGATGGCTGAAACTGGATAAGGATGGCGGTATCGTCAGCAAATTTTGCTAGAAGGGTATTAGGATGGGTTGGAATGTCAGCTATGAAAAGGATGTAGAGAACTGGGCCCAAGACACTGCCTTGTGGAATACCAGCCTCAACTAGATAATGGTTGGAAAATTTAGTACAGCAGCGGACTTGAAATCAAATCGATCATGTCTTGATACAACATAGCTGGCAAAGCAGTATAATTAATGTACGGTCTTATCGCGGAGCAGAATGTGGGTCGGATCATGAATTAGTAATCGCGAAACTCAGACTTAACAGCGAAACAGAAACTTAATATAAAAAAGAGAAAAGAAAACCGTTTCGATTTTCAGAGTTTTAATTTGGAAAAATTAAAAAAATGCATCATTTAGAACCCAATTCGAGCTAGATGTTAAGAATAAGTTTGAAGCTTTAGAGCTTTCTGACGAGGACCGCGAGGAATTTGACAAGTTATGGGTAGAGATCAGGGATAATATTAAAGCGGTCGGTAACTCGTGTCTAGGAAAAAAGGAAAATAAGAATAACAAACCGTGGTTTGATGAAGATTGCTTAAACATGTGCGAAAAACGAAAAGCCGCTAAATTAAAAGCTCTAAATAATCCTAGCGAAGACAATCTGGAATACTTCCGAACCTCAAAGAACGAAACGACAATATTACTCAAAAATAAAAAACGGGAGTATCTTCAACATAAAATAATTGAAATTGAAACCAATAGAATAAAAAAAAATCGTAAGAGACACGCACAAAGGTATAAACAGATCACGTAAATGTTTAGGGCCCGTCACGTCTGAAATTAGGGATGAAAATAACAATATTTTGACAAATACATATTGAATAAGTTTTAACCACTTTGATAATATTTTAAATACGGGAAATTATGGTCTGTGTCCCCCTTCTGAGTACCAAGGTGCTGAACCGTTGATAGAAGGACCGAGTAAAGAGGAGGTTGAAGTAGCTATCGGAAAATTAAAATCCTATAAAGCAGCAGGAACCTATAATAATATTCCTACTGAACTAATTAAGGCATGCGGGGAAACTGGAGTTTCTAAAATACATCGGTTGGTTAAAAAGATCTGGGAGAATGAGAAATTACCTGAAGAATGGAAAGATTCTATACTTATTCCGATTCACAAGAATGGCCCGAGGACGGATTGCAATAACTATCGAGGAATTTCACTCCTTCCGGTATGTTATAAAATATTCACTTTAATCTTAACTAGAAGAATCACGAAATACGCCGAGAAAATTATTGGAGACTACCAATGCGGATTTAGACGGAATCGTTCGACTATTGATCAAATATTTTCTTCACGACAACGGTATTGTTCACCAGCTGTATGTCGATTTCAAAAAGGCTTGCGATTCTATTGACCGCCAGAAACTGTATAATATTTTAATCGAGCAGGTGATTCCAAAAAAACTAGTAAATCTAGTCAGGATGTGCTTGACGGAAACACTCAATAAAGTTAGAATCGGTAATAATCTGTCCGAAGTTTGAGGTTCGTTCGGGTTTAAAACAGAGGGATTCCCTTTCGCCTGTCTTGTTCAATTTGTCATTAGAACATGCCATTAGGGAGGTAATGCGTACCGAAAAGGGGTTGGATATGGGTGGGACATTTTATTATTATTATTATTTAAGGATGTGAATGTTAATATTAATTTTATTTATTCTCCAAGAATTTTATAAAAATGTTGACCTGTGAGCAGTTACTGAGACGAAATAAAATGTAATGAAGAAAGGTCAAATATATAAACTAATTCATAAAAATAGTGATAATAGTTATAGTAGACTCAGAACAAAAAAAAAAAAAAATTTTCAAAAATGAATTATACTTCTTAAATGATTGGTAATATTTAAGAAAATATATTTACTTTATATGAATGTAAGAACTTAAAATTTATTATTGTCAATCCGAATAAGCTACTAAAACAGACTGCAGATATGAAAGATGATTTAATTGTTCAAACTAACAAAATAAAATATTATATAATTAAATTGTCATTGAATAAAATTTAAATTGAAAAAAAAAAACCAATGTTTTAAATAGCCAAATATAAAAAACTGTTGGTGTACTTCATCTGAAAGATGTACAAATAAATCATATGAAAAAGTGCATTACACATTACAGCAAAAAACCCTCAAGAGCAAATATTTTAGGTTTAAATTATTTCTGATTGAAGTTACATGGCATTTTTTATTCAAATTATTTAATTTATTGTTTACATAGAAGCAGTTTACTGAGAGTATACCAAGCCACTTATCTGAAGCAAAATGGATTATGATGTACGCGCCATATTATTTGTATATTTGCATCATTCACTTCCAAAAATATATCATAACTGATCCTATGAGGTTTATAAAATAATTCAGTATTGTACAAACAATATTGAAGGAACTAAGAAATGTATATTGATTCATTGGACATTAACTCAATAAAATAGATAACTAGCCTTAATTTACGTGACTGCACAATATAGTAATGAGAGCTGATGCTGCTGGCAGCAACTCAGCTTAGCATAAAGATGTATACCGAGGCACAGAGAAGACTGTCCATATCAGCTTGTGTTCGGCAAAAGTAGAGAAAATTTGCATGATTGAAAACTTCAAAGTGAAGATGAAGACAATAAGAGATCATCTGCTTCTGTCCCAGTATTGGACACTGAGATTTCCTACAGATACCTTCTGTAGTCGAAACACCAAATACATTCATGGCTAAACTTTTAAGAACAGTAAAGCATATTCTTCTAGAATCCAGACAATTTTCTGAAGGTTTTAAGTAAAAACCTGAAGATGGGTATAACAAATCATATAAAAGATGAAGAGAAGAAGGGGAGGAGAGCTCATGCAGCCTTCGTCCGCTTCAGTTCATTTTTCATATTAAAAGAAAGTTTTTCTCACCTTTTTATTTTTATTATAATTTTCCTTACGTATAGTATGGGATTTTTTCATTTTAATAATGATTAGTAAACATTGAAAATCATACTTAAAATATTTTATTAACTGATGTTACTTAGTAGTAAAATAGCAGGCAAAAGTTTTGTATTGTTATTGGAATTTTAAAATAATGCAATAGGATTGATTGATTTTTTTTTAAAATTAGAATAAATAAAAAGATCATGTTTTTTATAAAAGTATTTTATTAATTTAAAACAACAGATTTAGACCTGTTACTTTAAGAGAAATATTCGAAAGGGTGAGCATAATGCCAGATGAGTAGTGTGAAGAATATAATATCCCATGTAGTTTCTCCACCACTACCTTAATGGAAAACAAATGTTAGCCAAGCTCTACCTAAGGAACATTATTGGAAACTAATGATAAGGTTTGGAAACCTTTAATTTGGCCACAAATACCTCATTTTGCTCTAAATTTAGTTTATAAAATGTACTGCAATTTTGTGGTATAATGTATGTTAATATTGACTGTTGCTCAGAAAATTAAAATGTTTGAAAATAGCTAATAATGAAGAAACGTTATAAAATTAAATAAAATACTTTTTATTAATGAAATTTGTTATGGGAGTATTGTGGTCTTTAACCTTAATCTATTTATGATTAAAATTTAAAAAAGTATATGTTGTAATTAAATATGTTATTTTAATTTAGAATACTGATAAAAAATTGTTTAAAGAAAAACTATTTTTTTCATTTAAGTACAATGTTATCTTAATGATTTTGGAATGTACATTTACATTAAATGAAACAAACAGCAATTAAAAAATAAATTTTCATGACTAAATTATTATCGCATACCAATTAACAAGTTTTTTTTTTTTTTTACCAATCTGCAACATATCTACATTTAATTTATTGAATATAAACTCAATAAATTAAGTAAACTATCAAACAATTTTAAATGATAATAATAAAACAAATTTAGACATAATGAAAACACATTTAGTTTATTTTTTCAATATCATTTTGTTTTTCATAACAAAGTATTTAAAATAATCATTAAACAATAAATGTAATAAATTAACATTTTGATTAGTAATATAAAATAGACTGGTTAAACCTAATTATATAGGTTGTGTTTCTCTCTGTAACCATTTATAAGCTGCCTCATAACCTTTGTTTTTAAGCAAAGGTCCTAATATCTCAAAGCATTTTTTATGATAAGAATTGAGATAATCAATTTCACAGGGTGTTAACTCAGAAATCAGCAACATTTTAGTTTGAATAGGACAAAGTGTAATGGTATCCATAGTAAGATAGCCTCTGTCATTAAAGTTGTGTGGTGTTTGGGCAGACGTTATATGAACAATATTTTCCAGCCGGATACCAAATTTTCCTTCAAGATAGAAGCCTGGTTCATTTGACACAAACATATTTTCTTGAAGGCCAGGATCATCAGGAAATGGTCTATTTGAAATACCCATTGGCCCTTCATGAACATTTAAATAAGAACCAATTCCATGCCCTGTTCCATGTCCATAATCAAGTCCTACTTTCCATAAGGCCAAGCGAGCAATGGCATCAAGGCAGTTTCCCTTTAATTTATTAGGAAAAATTGTCGTTCCTAGGGCAGTCTGACCTTTGAAAACTCGAGTAAAACATTCCCTTTCCATTTGCGTAGGTATTCCAAAATGCATTGTTCTTGTAACATCCGTGGTTCCTCCTAACCACTGACCACCGGTGTCACATAAATATATTTCATTCTCGGTTATCTTTCTATTAGTTTCTTCTGAGGGCCGATAGTGAATGACTGCTGCATTTGGGCCAGATGATGATATTGTTGGAAAACTGGGGCCTATATAATCATCAGTTTCTTCACGATATTTTTCTAATTGAGCTGCTGCACTAAGTTCAGTAACTCCACCTTTTGGCACTTCCTCTTCTAGCCAAGCATATAGTCGACATAAAGAAACACCGTCTCGTATGTGTGCATTTACCATATATTCAACTTCAGTTTGATTTTTAATTGCCTTCATTAAAGCGATTATACTTGGCTCACAATAGCGCTTTTGTTCAGGAATCAATGAATATATAAGATAACTGGCAGTCTTTGGAACCCAGACTTTTTTGACACAATTCATAAGTGTACTTATGAAATTGTAAACATTATCATAAGGCTGGATCGTAACATCAATATTTTCATTTCTAAAATGATCTCTAATTTCATCTGTTATTCTTGTTTCATCAACAAAAAAATACAATGAGTCATGGCTCAATACAACAAAACTAAAAAACACTGGGTTATATTCAATATCGGAACCTCGTAAATTTAAAAGCCAAGCAATTTCATCAAGAGCAGTTACTATAAGAGTATCAACTTCCTTTTCCAACATTGCTTTTCTGATATTTTCAACCTTTTCACCAGAAAGTTTTCCAGAATATTTCAGTGCCAAAGGTTTAATTTCATTCAGTACTGCTGGTTTCTTATCTGACCATACTTCATCAATTAAATTTTTCTTAACAGGAACCAGCTTTTGGCCACCCCTTTCTAATTCATTTTGGATTGTTTGCCAAATCGTACAATCAATGCATTGTGGATCAACACCCACAATTGATCCTTTTGGCAGGTTCTGAGAAAGCCAAGTCCCTTCTGTAGGGGTAGTGACTAAACCAGATTTCATTAGAGTCCAGTCAGAGGACAGTTCGTTGTTGGCCTGTGTGTAATATCTACCATCTGTCCATAATAAAGCTTTATTATCTGTAATTATAACAGTAGCACTAGATCCTGAAAATCCTGATATAAATTCAAGTCGTTTATAAGTATTAGCAAGATATTCATTTTTGTGAGGGTCGCTATTAGTAACTATATATGCCTGAAGAGGTTGATCTAAAGTTCTCATTAAAGTCCTTAGCTTACCCAACATCTTGTTTATCATAAAATTCACTACTTTTGTCACTGCTGTAAAAAAAAAAAAAGCTTTTAAAACACTGAGAAGTATGAGAGTCACAACTTATTCAAAGAAAACTAAAACTAAAAGAGATCCCAAAACAAGTCAACTTATACCTGAGAGATAATAGTCCTTAAAAAAATGAAAGATTATGATTGAAAATGTCAACAGTTATGTAATTGCACTCGACAGTTAATATGATTTACAGTTAATAAATAATCTCAACTTTTGAACGTACTTGTTAAAAAATAGTTTAGAGAAGAATATTGTGTAATATATCTTTCGTTGGAATAAATAAGAACAGAATTCAATAGCTGAGCACTTATTTTACTTTCAGCAAGCTAGGTCATTGCTCTTATTTAAAACCTGTCTAACAAGAACAACATATTTGCTGTTATCAGTAAACAAAATTGAGTTATAATCGATAGAAAAAATATTAACACTAAAAACACTCCTGAGAGGTTAAAGTCATCCCCTTTTACCTATAGTAATTTAAAGATTAAACTTACTCATTGCACTTGACATAAAAATATACAAATACAAAAGTAGGTTATTGAACATGTAGTTATTTTTAATCAGAATTTAACATTGCACCCTCCTCATCTTAGACTTTTGAGCATTATTTGACATATAGTATATTAATTAATTTGGAAATTTTATTATGTTTTGGTGTGGACTTTAAAGCTTTTGACCAATTTTTAACAGCTGATATAAAATATAGAACAATATGAAAATATCAGTCGAAACTCCACAATTTTTTGTCCTAAACTACACTGCAGAGATTTTTTATTTTGAAGAACATTTTAAATTATTTTATGAGTATCTTATCTCCATTGCTAGAGTTTTTCGTTTAGTCGATTATTAAATAGAAATCGACAGATAAAAACTGAAATATATACATAAAAAATCTTAGAAATTAGTATTTTTTTGCGGTAGGATGTTGATGATGAGGACTTCCCAATTATCCTATCCTAGATTTACGGTATACTATTGTATTTCCTGCTATTAGTAATGTTTTTTTAATATTTCTTCATCTACTCCAATCAATAGGAAGATAGTCTTTATCGCAGCAAATCAGCAATTCACGACATAAAACTCGCAATTGCAAATTACGCTGAATATCACTTTTATGTATTATAATCAGAACATAACTTGGTAGTTCACCAAACCTTGATCAAATCTGTAATGTCAGAAACAGCCTTCTGATTCGAGGATTTTCGGCTTAGGGTTGTCGGCTACTGTTATCTACTTTCAAACCTCCCGGACACGCAGATATATTTTTCTAGTTCCAAAATATTTTCTTCAGGAATCTTCTCAAATAGGAAGAGTGTTAAACATATATCTATAAATGTAAATAGTTTTAGACCACTTTAATGTAGAGTAGTCTAAAATTTCCAACCGTGCTTTATATGCTGCTGATCGCATAATTCGTGGTACATTTTTGAAATTTGCATGTTAGATTCGTGAAAAGCTTCCAACATTTATTTAGATTTTATAAAATTAACAATAATAAAATTACCTCGCTTTGAAAATATTCTAATCCGTTTTTTAAAGACGTCAGATTCGTATAAAGCTTCCAAAATTTCGTCTGACTTTATTAAATCTGTCATCTACTAAGTGGTCTGAAACTATTCCAGAAGGTTTTTTTCCTGTCGCTGATCACGTAATTTTAGGCACTTTTTGAGATTTTCATAGACGTCAGATTCGTAAAAAGCTTACAAAATTTTGCCTGACTTTATTAAATCTGCTACCTACTAAGTTGTCCGAAAATGTTCCAGCCGTTTTTTCCCTGCTGCTGATCACTTAATTTTTGGCATTTATTACCCATCGATTATTACCCCAGTAACTTTGGTATGAAAAGGAAGGTTTAAGTTGCATCAAATGGAGGTACAAGGCTTCTTTTTTTTTTCTTGCATGGGATGTGACTAAAATGCAAAATCTAAGTTTTCGACCTCAGCGCTCACCCGGTTCACTATCTAAAACCCCCAAAACTGCTATATTTCCGCATGTTTTTCGGTTTTCCTCCATTTTGCACGTTTTTGACAAAAAACACTCTATACAGTATTAAACTAGATTAGATATGCTACAATTTAATACCCGAACAGGCTCATTAAATCAAATAGTTTACAAGACACAACTTTTTAAATGTTAATAAGTTTTCAGCCATTTTTCCTGTTTAATCATATGCACTTGTCTTCATATCTTCAATAACCTATTATATGAATCAGTGAAGTAAATTTGTATTCATTTTAACATTTTGAAGGAGGGGTGAGGGAGGAGGGGAGGTTTGGTGGGAGAGGTGGGACCCAGAAGACTTTTTTTAAACATTTATTATTTAATCCACACCTGTCACAGCCTGTAACAATAAGCGACTATGATCTTTATTGATAGAGTTGTATGTCAGGCATGAGTGAGATCGGTACCCATCCTAGCTTGGAATAAAAAAAAAATAGTTAATCCAGGAGATCCCTTAACCAGCTCCTTTTCAGCCTTCGTCGGGCGTTTTCTGGCCTATGTCTCGTGGCCATGTTTTGTATAAGTATGCTGGAATGTTCGTGAAGTTTGGCATGGAACTTTTTATAAGATGTCCCGATGTGATCTTGTACCATCGGTATGTTTAATTCTATGGTATTTTTATTGCCAAGGCCAATTATATTATTATTATTTGACGTTTTGTTACTGACATACCAGGGTTAGCGCGTGATGAGTGTTAAAGATTTTGATTGAAAAGTCTCTGATCAAATCCCTTTTACAGTGTGGGTAGTTAGGCTGGTCATTTATTTGTTTGTGTTTCGGAATTGATGAGATCCGTGCAGATTCGTTAATGTTCTTTGTCAATACTTCGACGACTTTTTCGATTTCGTTTTCCGAAATCGACCAGAAGACTGAAATTGAAATAAAAAAACATTTAACCAACATTTACATCAAGTGCATACCAAAATGAAGTGAATGAATTTTTCGAAATTTGAAAATGAAACATTACTTTAAAGTATCTATCAGTAAGGTAGGAACGGATAATGAGGAAGTAGGTAGATGGTAGGAATTTTCGGAGTTTGTACAGCAGTCCCGGGTGCCAAACTCTATCAAACGCCTGTTCAACATCGAGAAAGACTCCCGTACAGTACATACCGCGCTCCAATGCAGAGGATTCTACGTCTTCCACACGATGGCATTGCTGTATAGTAGAATGGGAGGAGCGGAATCCAAATTGGTGATCTGGGATTAGAATCTAGGATTGAGTGCAGGCGTTTTAAGATTAGTTTTTTCAGGATTTTCCCATGATGGGTAACAGAGAGATGGGACGGTAAGAGGATGGATATTCTGGTGGCTTTTTGGGTTTGTGGATCATTTTGACAATAGATATTTTCCAAGGATCAGGGAAAGTAAGGAATCATATATGAACGTAAGGAATAGGTGGCTTTTCGAGGAAGAAGTTTCAAGATCTGGGATGTTATTAGGTCATGTCCAGGAGCTTTGCGGGAGGGTAATCTTTGAATGATGTTGGATATTTCTGTGGGATGAAATGCTTTAGGTGGAAGGGAAATTTGGAGAGGAGTATCTATTTCTGATTCAATACATTCGATGTGGGTTGGGTTAAGGATATCAGGATGTTGGTTGAAAATTTGGAACAGATGTTGACCGAATAACTGGGCTTTTTCTTCATCGGATTTGGACCAGGTTTGGGATTCAGTAAGAAGTGGGTGATTAAAGTCTTTAAACTTCAGAAGTTTTTTGGTTGTAGTCCATAGTGATTTGTCAGTTGTTGTAATATTTTCAGTTAGGTTCAGTCACTAGCGGATCCAGGATTTATTTTTGGGGGGGGGGCTTCAGCCCGAAAGGTTTTTTTTTTCATAAAAATAACGATAATTACTTTGGAAAAAAATAAATAAACTAGCTACCTGTATGAAATGGTGTTTAAGTTATTCCTAAAGCCCTTTTAAATGTAATTACACGAATAATAATACTTTAAGAGATACTTTTTTAATATTTTTTTCGATAAAACATGGTTATATTTTACCATTTTGGGGGGGGGCTTCAGCCCGAAAGCCCCCCCCCCCGTAGATCCGCCCGTGGGTTCAGTAATTGTTGAGTTTTATATTTTCTGATTTCTAATTTTAGTTTGTTAGTCAATTCGGTATAGTACGTTTTGTCTGAAGGATATCTAGTCCTGTGCCACTTCGATCTTGCTCTGCGTTTATCCCTTAATAAGATTCGAATATGATGTGACAAGTTAATATGTCTTAAATTATTGCTTTTATTATTAACTTAACAAATGTGTTATTAGTTATACTCGTTGTTATAGTTGTAGTAAGGTTTTCTATGGCATTATCAATATGTTGTTTTGTCTTAAGGGGAATTTTTAAGTCCAGTTTATCTTCCAGATCATCACGAAATTTGTCCCAGTCCACTCGTCCTGTAATCAGTTTAGGAGGTGAAGGTTTAGGAGCAAAGTTCGAATGTAGTAAAAGCAAAACTGGACTATGATCTGACGAAAGATCATCTAGGGATTTTATAATGGATTGGGAGGAGGAAATCTGGAAGCTGATAAATATATCCAGGATATCGGGACGTTTTTTCAGAGATGTAGGCCAATATGTAGGATTCATGGGTGAGAGGATTGAATAACTGTTGGAAGAAGAGACACGTGATAGGATGCTACCGCGGGAGTTGGATGTTCGACAACCCCATCGTTGGTGTTTAGCATTGTAGTCTCCTCCAGCAATAAAGCGCGCTCCGAGGGATTGAAATAAGGATTCAAGTAGGCTATAAGAGTTCGTCACGGTGGTTTTGTAGTCCGTTAGCGTTCCACAAGAGGATAGCTAGGGGCTTTGTATTCATCGGAAGTTAAACGGGATTTCGGAAAGGAGTCTTGTGAGAAGAGTTATAAGCGGTTTGATAGTCTGTTGAAGATCTATCAGGAATGATGATAGGATAGAGTTGATGTCGGATGATGTTTGGCTGGGAAGTGGATTTAGGTCGTGAGGTTGTGATGAGTAATCTATGCGAATAGGATTGTTGGGTGGGGGGTGGGTCCGACGTGGGGTACGAGGAGTAGGATCTAAATTCTGTTGGACTTGTGATGGGAGGTTCATCTTGGGAGTAGGAACGAGTGGAGCTGGGTGTGGGTGCTCTGGCGGGAGTTTGACCCTTAAGGGTAGCTGGTGGGGAGGGATTTGCTGACGAGGCTGTTGAGGTTGAGTATGAGAGCTTTTGGGCTTGGATTGGGAGGTTTGAGGCGCCTGACTTTGAGGCTGCTTCTTAATGATGGAAGGCTGCCATTGAGAATTTCTTGAATTCTGTTGAGGATAATCCTTAAGTGTAGAGATGGATGGTTGATAGAAGATAGAATATAGTATCAATTTTAAAAATTAGTTTTTTGATGTAAGGCCAAGGGGTGATGAATCAAAGAATGTTGACTGCTTGCTTATTTCACAAAATGTATCTGTTTTCGTCTTTTTTTCCCTTAAACTCATAATCTATGCATCTCTCGAAGAAATACATTGTAATCAACTTGAAAGAGCATTAAATTTCCTATGAACATCATTTAGAAAGGTTAATATGAGATTAAGTGTCTGTTAAAGTGCAAATCCAAGATGTATTTCCACTGTAGTATCTGCCACCCTTAACTTTAATGCTTTTTATCTTTTAAATGATTTTGATTCGGCTAATTTAATTATATTTATAAGGTTAAATACTATTTTTAAACATTGCTGCATCAATGGTATCCTTCCTGGGCTGAAATAACGTGGTTTGCCTCACAAACCATTCATCATTCATCCTGTT